AGAATGGTGATTCAATAATTTAAACTTAAACTCAAAATTCCTCTAGTCCATGCCTCCTTTGTCTGCTCCACAAGATGAAATAACTGTACAAAAATGTTTCAAGTGTACCTTTTAATTGGTGTGTTGCCCTTCAGCTTTTGACTTACATTAACTAATACTACAAAATTGATATTCTTGTAAATTATACCTAAAATTTTATGTTGTGAGATGACTGTTGAAAGTTGGTTGTGATAAATAAGATAACTCAATTATTTGCTTAAATTTTCAAACAGAGCAGTTTCTTCTTTTTTTTCCTGTTGATGCAATCTGATGAGTTTTCAGAAATGATATTTGAGAGAAAATTTGAGGCTTTGCTCTATAACAATGGGATATTTCACTAATTCCTAAGAAATAAAATTTCTGAAAGCTAAATTGAGTCTCACAACAATACAAAGATTTTGTTACCTGTTCAAAGTATATTTGAGGCTTTGGCTTATATCCATCAGGTTATTTCACTTTAACGTCAACTTTTAACAAACATGTAAATTCCTGTTTAGAAACTTCAGCTGCTCTTTCAAACATTAGACTGTGTTGATAGACGATCAACATTGCATGGAAGAAATCAATCAATACCTAACAGAAGCCTTCAACTGACCATGTACCTTATCGAAGTTTTTTTTTTTTGTACCCAGGTTCAACCTTGTGTTGGTATTTGGAGCGATAAATGTCGTTTGAAACTAGGAAGGAGACGGCCATTTATTTTAGCAGGATGCGTTATGATTTCTTTTGCTGTGAGTGTGGTATTTCGAGATTGGAGTTTCCTCTACTTGTTGCATCCTAACTTTGTGCTGATTGATCTCTTGTATTTGTAATTTAGGTCACATTAATTGGTTTTTCTGCTGACGTTGGATACATTTTAGGAGATACCAATGAAGATTGCAAGTAGTTTCATTCACCCTGTATTCTTTCTTCAATTAGAAGGCTTACATCTTATCAAAAATTTGCCATATGAACAGGATTTATAAAGGTCCCAGATTGCGAGCAACCATTATTTTTGTTATGGGATTTTGGATGCTGGATCTTGCTAACAATACAGTGCAAGTAAGCTTTTCTAAGTTGATGCCACCTGTTTTGGTTACCCATGTTATCTATATGTTGAGTCACCATTTTATTATTATGGGTATATATTTTATCATCAATACTTTTTACAGCCTTTTGTATGTTTTTCATTCTAGGGTCCAGCTCGAGCTCTTTTGGCTGATCTCTCAGGTAAGTTTGTTTCCATTTCATATTAATGGAGGCGCTCGACAATAATTTCAGAATCACGAGTCATCTTTAAGAAAAGGGGTCAATTACACTAGACCCCCTAAAAACTTTCAGCATTTTGTGGTAAACCCCCAATAACTTTCAAAATTGCGCTAAACCCTCAATAGCTTTTGTAGAAAACCACCAAAATCTTTTGGGTAAATTACACAAAATCCCCAATAACTTTCAAAATGCCTTTTATGTTGTTTTTTTGTTCTAATTTAATGGGGTCATCTGCAAAATGTAGAAACTTATTGGGGGTTTTCTGTGAAATGCAAAAGTTAGTGAGGGTGGATCGCGATTTGAAAGTTATTGGCGGTTTACTGCAAACCATGAAAGTTCTTGGGGGTTTAGTGTAATTTACCCTAAGAAATCTATCTGCATTTAAGTGTGAGAATTAAATAAGTCCTGATGTCTAATGTTTTCTGATAGGCCCTGATCAGTGTAATTCTGCAAATGCAATATTTTGCTCGTGGATGGCTGTTGGAAATATCCTAGGATATTCTGCTGGTGCTAGTGGTCAGTGGACTAGGTATGCCGTAACCAAAATCAGTTTAGGCACTACCTTTTTGTTTTGCTATGGACTCAATGGAGCATTCTTTTGTCCCTAGTGAATTAGAGTTTTCTCTCAGGAAGGGGTAAAAAAGGTCTTGCGATTTAGCTAACACTTGGAACTCGAAGAAAGGTGGTTTCATTTTAATTTCTAACCCCATAGTAATAGCTCATTTTTTCGGTCACAGCAGTGGTTCCCTGTTTATGTCAGTCATTTGTGTAATCTTTTCAGATGTTTATTAGAAATGAAACTAATATAGGAACTTGGTGGGAAGCACATTAGGTTAAACCTGATAGTATCGTTTCCCATGTATTAAGTTGGCTGACTATGAATGTGTCTATACTCAAGTTAGTGAGGACATAGAAATATTGAGCTGCCTGTATGCACACCTATATCGATTGGTATTTGTTCTATCATCCCAACCAGTGGGCTTACTGCTCAATTTTATTGACAGGTGGTTCCCTTTTCTGAAAACTAAAGCTTGCTGTGAAGCATGCGCTAATTTGAAAGCAGCATTTCTAGTTGCTGTGGTGAGTTCTTGCTTTACCAAATGAAGATAGGATTGTATTATGGAGTATTAGACTGCATCTTTAGATCTATTCATAACTGACCATGAACTAGTTTACTAGACTTAATACATCGCGGTACAAAAAACAAACACACACACAAAAGCCCCCCAAAAAAGAGGGGAAAAAATTAACTGTTTGCTTTAACAAATGTACCAGTACCCAGGGGTGGAAACAAACCAAATATTTTACAAATACTTCAGTATTTATTCGTTTAAGTATTCGGTCATATTCGATTCGGTAGTTGATTTAACAATAAGTGAATAGTTTTTAATATTTGGTCCATAAACAAATAGAATTTAACCATAGGTATATTCGATTTGTTTGTTTAATAAACTATTAGGTAAAAATTTGTTTGCTTATGACTTGTATTAATTACACATGTGATGTTATGTTTTTGACCCACCTACATTTTTTATTTTAGTTGTATACTAAGTTTGAGAGACTTAGCAAATCCCAAATTCATTTTTTAACCCAAATATTCACCTTTCAAATTTAGGTATATAGATATGAAGGAATGATTTTCAATTATGAATTTAAATGTTATCTAAAATATCAAATTCTTAGAACAATGAAAATACTACTTTAATCAAATAAAAGTATCTACTTAATTAAATTGTTTAATATTCATAAAACATGAATTATTAATCAAACAAATATACTTAAATATTCCATAGGTAATTGTGAATATTCGGCAAATACTGGTATTCGGATTCGAGTTCGAAGAAAATTAGAGAACGATATTCCAATTTGAAAAATTTAAACGAATACAAAAACAAATATCTTGGTATTCATTCGTATTTGGATCACTTCCAACCCTACCAGTATCCATGTTGAACAGCTTCGTCTTCTGCCAGGCTTTGTGATTTACTGACAAGCATGTTCTAGTCAGTTCTATTGTCTTGTGAAAACAACACGACAAGTTACAATACAATCATATTTATCACCTTTATCTAATGTAGGACCGAATCAGCATTTTGAGCATGAAAAGCTCCTTCAATATCGGAGATCATTTCCTGAGTAACATATTTTTTTAGTAATTATTTATCATGACCAAATAGCAAGCCTCATTTATATGAAAACACCAGTTAACTTTTAATGTTATCTTTATTTGAAAGGATTATAGAGCTCCTCAAAGCAAAGAAGAAGAATGCTTATTGAAATTGAAAATTACATTAATCTCTCATAAACACTTAACCTTGTCCACCTTAACCAGAAACGGGAGATTCAACTAGCGAAGTAGGTTCACTACAGTACTCATAGTGAGGCTTCCTTGATTTGCTAACAATCTGCAAAGCTGTTAGCATTCCCTCTAGATATGAGTAGTAAGTACCTCATCAAGGTTCTTAATTCAAACTTTGATCTCTTCATGCGAACAGACCTGTTAATGCTGTGTGTTCTGACATATTAGTTTAATTCGTAAGCAAAGACCATCATGATTTCGAATCTTCATGTAGTTTCAATAGTATTCACCCCACTGATGTCCATCACAGTATCTATGTCATTGATCCATCATAGCTTTAACACTATGGAGTAAAAACACTTATCTTTGATTTTTGTTACTTGCAAATTTACTGTAACCTATAAACATTGGACCAACAGACATAAAGTTTTGTGCTCAAAGACATGATCAGTCTCTTATTAGGAATTCTAACCTCAAAAACTTATATGTGCTTAAGGACTCACCAGCATCACATGATTTATGTTGAAATGCCTTCCTAATTAGCTTGAAATTTGGTAGAAGTATTAGATTCTCTCAATACTAGGTTCTGCAGAGAGTACAGGGAATTATGAAGGACGGAAGGGATTTCCCTATTTCACCTTCTTAGGCTCATACTGAGTGTGTTGATCTCCAACAGTATGTATTGTATGGTTGAAATGAACTGTCATGAGCCATCCAGTTATTGCTGAAGTTTTTAGGGTTGTCACATAATAACATCTCGATATATCATAGATAGGTCATTATATATTATTACAATGAACAGTTTTATTATGTTTAACAATACTTCTGGTAAATGGTTGTGACTCATGCAGGCTTTCCTTTTGTCATGTATGTCTGTGACACTATATTTTGCCAAAGAAGTTCCACTAGAAGCAAAGTCTGTGCAACACTTGTCTGATTCTGCACCCTTGCTGAAAGACTCTCAGCATCATAGCCATGGGTCGTCATGGACAACCCCTGGGAAACAAGAGAATGGTCATGACTCTGAATACGTAGTGGCTGCCAAAACTAATTCCAATGGTCATTCAAATTTTGACTTGAACAGTAAACACGATAAAGCTGATGCCATTAATGCTGGACCATCAGCTGTTCTCGTTAACCTCTTAACTAGCTTAAGGCATTTGCCACCTGGCATGCACTCGGTGCTTCTAGTGATGGCTCTTACTTGGGTATGTAACTCAAATTAATTTCCAAAATGACTTGCAATTTATCCTTATATTTGTTACTGTACAACACCCTTTCACTAATTTGCATGCCGTTCTTATGTTTGTTAATTTTTACATGTTTTCGATACCTTCCATGGGTAGATATAAGAGGGAAGAGACCTGTTAACGGATAGAATCCTCTATCATAGTTTTTTATCATATCCTCCAATTGTTTATTACTTAACATTCATAACTTTCTTGAATGCAGACATCATGGTTTCCCTTCTTCCTCTTTGACACTGATTGGATGGGGCGAGAAGTGTATCATGGGAATCCGAATGGGAACACAAATGAAATTTTCATGTATCAAAACGGTGTCAGAGAAGGTGCATTTGGTTTGCTGTTGAATTCAGTAAGAACTCAGACAGTCATATTACATAAGCTTTGGCTTTGATCTTCCCTCATAAACAAAATAAGCTTGGTACTCTTTTCAGGTCGTTCTAGGGATTAGCTCTTTTCTTATTGATCCAATGTGCCGGAAAATGGGTTCAAAAATAGTATGGGCAATGAGCAATTTTATTGTGTTTATTTGCATGGCAGCAACAACAATTATAAGTTTTGTGTCCCTCAGTGATTACTCCAATGGAATTCAGCATGTGCTTGGAGCTAACAACGCAATTAAGATAGCAACCTTGGTTATTTTTTCTCTTCTTGGATTTCCTTTAGCGGTAAGCACTGATTCTCATAATACATTGGTTTTTGTTCTTTCCGACTCAATACAATCATCATCTTACTTCCACTTATTGCAGATTACATACAGCGTCCCATTTTCTGTGACTGCAGAGTTGACTGCTGGTACAGGAGGCGGACAAGGTTTGTTTTGTATGGATCTTCCTTGATATCTCTTTTTAGCTTTTATCTGAGCATCCATGGATTTTCATTTTTGCAGGATTGGCTACTGGGGTATTAAATCTCGCAATTGTCATACCTCAGGTCTGTTGATGACTTCTATTACGTAGTGTAAACCATGTCATTTGAATCGAAAACTAATAAGATAATATCAGCATGAAGCCCAATATATTTCTTCAATATGTACTGTATGCAATGCTATCTTTGTTCGTGCTTTCAACAATGCATAAGCTGATGGTTTATTACAAGTACGGTATTCTTTGTGCTGACCACTCTCAAGGAATAAGCTAGTCGATAGGCAAATGACTTCATTTGCAAGTTTTCCTAAAGTATTATCAAGATTGTCAATTTTGATGTTGGCGTAGCTATCATAGTGGACTTGAATGATTTTCCAAGTGTGCATTATTGCATGATGAAGCCTAATTTTGCTTGTTTTCTTGAGAAACAACAATCTAGTCATGTTAGATGTTCACTCTGGCATTTTTTGTGTAGGTCTCTTTCATGGGCTTGCCTTTTCTCAAAAAAGGCAAATGCATATTTCATTTTTGGGTTTTTTAGATATTAGTCCCTTAAATCTGAGCTATTTTGATATTAGTCCCTCAAATTTGAGTATTTTGATATTAGTCCCTCAAATTGCTTTAAGTTGTTGATTTTAGTCCTTCAAGTTAGTAGTTGTTACATCTATAGGGGAATATTCCGTTATCTATAACTGTTGCATTTATGGGACAATTATGCCCCTCACCAAAGTAAAATTCATCAATGCATTATTAAAATCTAATCAAATTAAAATTCATCATTGCATAATTAAACCCTAATCAAGATTAAATCCTAACTCATCCCCAAAAATCTTTAAACTCTAAACAAAACATGCAATGAGAGAGAGAATGTTATTTAGTGGGGGTGAATTACACTGAGGGTATTTTGGTAACTTACCATCTATGAGAGAGAGAATGACTAATATCAGCAACTTAAGACAATTTGAGGGACTAATATCAAAATACTCATATTTAAGGGACTAATATCAAAATCGCTCATATTTAAGGGACTAATAGCTTCATTTTTATTTTCTCAAGGATATGCTTTTTCTGTGTTGTTCATACTTTTCATTAGAATAATAAAGGCAGAGGAACAGAATATTGATTACTAGTTCCAATTGTAGATCTTGAAAGTACAAAATTGCATTTTCTAAGGAAGGAACATCTCAAAAATATCACAAGATCCGCACCCAATTAAGAGAGAAACTGGTTGTCTTCTCCAAGATATGAAGTAGGCATGCAAAATATGATTGTATAGTTTGTGTAGGATGTCGGTGCTTCATTTTTGAACCTCTCTTATTTTGTTGCACCTTTTCTGGCTTCATCGAATTCCTTTTAATTGAAATGTGAGCCATTTTTAGCTCAAAAGTCAAAAGTATTTGCTGAAATGGAGATAATTTAATATCTTATAGTTATTTTGATTAGTTCTACTGATTTAGAAGAGGTAGAGCTTCAAATCCAGTTTGAAATTGAGGCTTCCCTCATTACTCGTGAAGACGAAACTCTGGAATGAAAAAATAAAAAAAAAGAAAAGAAAAGAAAACAACTTCCGTTATTTTTTGGTTTTACATCCTGACTGGTTACTCTTTCTTGTTTTCGTATATTTGCTTTCTAATACCTGCACATATCTTGCAGATGCTTGTTTCCCTCGGTGCAGGCCCCTGGGACGCTCTATTTGGAGGAGGAAACATCCCTGCATTTTTCCTAGCCGCGGCCTTTTCCTTAGCAGGTGGAATTATTGCAATCCTGAAGCTACCTAAACTTTCCAATTCCTATACCTCCAGTGGGTTCCATGGATTTGGTTGAATTGGCTTATTTATCATCAACAGTAATCTTCGTTCCCTTTTCGATCCTCCTTTTCTTCTGCTTCGTTCACTTTCATTCATATCAATTCATTTCCCCCGCTTTTCTCATTAATTCCATTTTCAATTTAAGATGATTTATATAGGTAAATACATGTACTCTTAATACTGTAAAATTTACATGAGCAAATACCAGAGGTTTGTGTATTAGCAGATTGATCATAACTTGCATATATATATATATACTTTTATTCATGTAACATAGCTGATAGTTATTTTCTCCTAACCTCAGAAATGATTCGTTTATGTAACATCCGAGCTCTTCGTCTCTTTACTGTTCTCGTGTTAATGATTGTGTGATTGTTCATTGGCATTTGAAAGGTTGGTAATTTTGGTTAAGTCAGTTGGAAGAATCTCCCTATTTCTTCATTGCTAATCATGTTTAGATGGTTGTCCCCTGCAGTATTGTTGTTTTGGATTTACTACCCTCTTGTTTCACTGTTGCAGATAGACCCCCTAAGTGAATTGTTGACTCCTTTACCCCCAAAGGAAGAGAAAATTGTTTTTTTCCAACAAATAGACTTTAAAAGACTCAAATAAGTTTCACTCCAGGGGGTCTATCACTCCAGTTGCAACAACAAAGCTGGAGAGTAGTAAATGCAGAATAGCGGTACTACAGGGGTCCCATCCGCAATTAACCCTATCAGAATAACATTTTGCATCATTCAAGATTTCACGCCTGAAGCTTAAGCCCGGTGTTGGGATCCGCGTCGATGAACCAAACCAAACGCCGTTCGAGAAGGCAAAACCAACCAATCAATGCACAAACACAAAACACTAATTTTAACGTGGTTCGGCAATTGCCTACGTCCACGGGGCAAGAAGAGGATGTGGTTTTTCACTAATAGAGAATGATAGTACAAATTGAGATTACAAATCACTCGAAGGAACAAACTAATCTCACCACAAAGCTCTTAATCTCTCCAAATAATCCCTAAACAAATAGCTCAGAAAATACCTCTTTTCTGTGCTCCAAATATCCCAAACTCAAGCCTTAAGAAACCCTAGAACGTGTATTGGTATTTATACCAAACACCAAACCCAATAAGAACAGGAAACTCAAACTGGGTCTGATCCGTTACGCGGTCAATCGCCACGGTCGACCGCGCCAAACGACAGAACCTGAAAAATGCTTATAGGGTTTGGCGGTCGACCGCTACAGTCGACCGCAACAAACAACAGAGCCCAAAAATCGACCGCAGGGTCTCGCGATCGACCGCGCCAAATCCAGACACAATCCATGAGCCTGTGCACGTTTGGGGTTGACCGGCCTTGCATCGCGGTCGACCGCGTAGCTCCCAAACTGACTCCTGCGTCCCAAAACCTGTTCTTCGCCAAATTTCTTCGCGGTTTCTTCAATTCTCCACATTGGTGAAGTTTTTTCAAAACTGAGCCGACACCAACCAAATCAAATGCCCCACTTATTGCGTCCAGTACGAAGTGAAATAATTCACAACAACGAACTCAATCCACAACAAGTCGAGACCCAAACGAGAGTGCGAACACTCTCCCAAACGTCGATGTCTACTCACCAAATCGGCTGCATCAAAACTGACTGTCTACGTATCCTCTTGTCCAAGGAATCAAGCATTCACGTAGTTCACCCAAACGGTCTCCAAAGACCCTCAAACAAATAGAAAAATCTGTAACTATTTTCCAATATCACCAACTGATCTGCAACTGATAGTGCTCCTAATGACCCCAAACTGAAATGTATCAAACACTTCCATCTGAGGTGAACCAATGGCCGTATCCAAAACAAGTCCATCAGCTGCAATCGAATCCGACACATCATCTGCATCCAAAACCAAATGATCCCTAATCTGTGTCACCTCAGTTGAAATCTCAAATGATGCAGTATGATCTGGAGTATGTGGAGTAATCTTCACCCAACATAAAGTAGAATCACCCTCCACCTGCTACAATATCCAAACGACCTGATCAACACTCTCTACCTGTCGAGAGTCAAAAGTGACATACCTGCTCAGAACAAAATCAGAAGCTGACCTGATCAACACTCTCTACCTGTCGAGAGTCAAAAGTGACATACCTGCTCAGAACAAAATCAGAAGCTCCCAAACGATAATCAACTGAGCCGTCGAGAGTCAAAAGTGACATACCTGCTCAGAACAAAATCAGAAGCTCCCAAACGATAATCAACTGAGCTTCTGAATCCCAAACGTGCAATCGGATCAAATCTCACATCCTCGATGTGACCAAATATTAGGTAACCAAAGAGCCGACGCTAACCAAAATCTGAAGCAGCTCCACCAGATTTAATAACTCCTAATGCAGTAGTCGGCGACCTATGACTAAGATGATCCAAATATGTCGAAGTTCCAAAACCTAAACCAATACTCGACAACCAATGCCGATCCTCCTCTAGAAAGAAACGACCCATCTGAAATGTCATCTCATCTCGTCGCCCCAATGTCTCCATGTCAATAAAGTGTCTCAAACTGCCATGAGCTCGGCACAAATGCAAGAAAGAACCTCTATCAAAGCTAGAACGATGGGTTATATTTCTGCCAATACACTTCTTCCAATTGTTGTTGACTTCTAGGACTTTACACCAACGGGAAGTGGTCATGACCCAATAATATCTAGAATAATCACCGATTACGGAAATAAAATATTGATTACCTCCCAATGATGCCTCCTTAGAAGGTCCCCAAATGTCTGATTGAACACCTCCTAAAAGACTCATCGATCGATGGATAGAAGTGCCAAATTCCACTTCGGTATTCTCGCTCATCCCAATGTGCTCAAAGGACTTCTATCTGCAGGTCAATGCACTCCTCAACAAACTATGCACGACATCACCAATCAAGTACCCCAGCATCAAACAACGCTACAGTCTAACCAAATCCAATGAAGTCGTCAGCGCTCTATCAATCATCGTGCTCCCAAGCAAATAGTATAAATTACTCCTGCTGACGCCCTTCATCACAATCATGGACCCAAATGTGAACTTCAAACGTGCATCCGTCAAGGTCACCCTATAACCTGCTGGCTCCAAAACTCCAAGTAAAATAATATTCTTCTTCAATTAAGGAACGAACATTTCTTCAACTAACTCTTGAATCATCCCGTCACTCATCCGAATACGAACGGTACTGATACCACCAATAAGGCATTTGTGATCATTACCCATGAGCACAACATCCCCTTTTTCCAACTCTTGAAAGCTGAAGAACCAATCACTCCTAGGGCATATATAATATGAGGCACTCGAATCCAACATCCACTCAGTGGAGTCGGCAACACAAACTGACGGAAGTGCTGGGCATGAATAGCCCGAAGAATCTGAATCTGAGATATCGCAACTAGCCTTGGCAACATTCACCTCTGAAGCTTCAATAGCTTTCCCCTTATTCTTCATGGCTTGTTCATTTAATTTTGGGCATTCAGCTTTCCAATGTCCATCTTCTCTACAAAAGACACATTGATTCCTACGAACTCCAAGATGTGCCCCCTAGACTGCGACCTTCTATCTCTGTTTGGACTCTTAGCTCTTACAACCAATGCCCTCGCTACCGGCTCAATAGAAGTCTTATTGTCCTTCTTTCTAAGTTGATAGTTCACAAGTGCAGCGTTGATCTTACTATATGAAAGAGATGTCTTCCCATTAATAAGAGTAAGAACAAAGGTCTCATATTCCTTGTCAGGTAAGGAACTCAATAACAACAACGTCTTATCCTCATCTTCAACCATAACATCTACATTCGTCAGATCTGTAAGAAGCTTCGTGTAGTGGTTCATGTGATCACCAATGGATGTCCTCTTTTTCAATTGGAAGTGATAAAACCTTCTCTTCAAATACAATCTATTTTCGACGTATATATATATATATAAATTTTCTTTGCTGAAGTCTCATTCATCACATTATATTTTAGATCTTGAGTGAGACAAGACCTAATCACACCACACGATGTACGATTCATCTTTTTCCAAACATTCTCATCAATGTCGTCCGGTTTCCCGTCCAACTCTAACGTATCTTCTAAATTCTGCGCATTGAGCGCATCCAAGACTTCGTAACGCCAAAGTCCAAAATTGTTAGTGCCATTGAACTTCTCCACGTCAATCTTCATCGACTGGATATTCAAACTTTGGATAGTCTTCACGCCTGAAGAACCACTCTCAACACCTTCTTTCCCGGCCATAATCCTCAACACACCAACAAACAATTGTGCGAACGAACAAGAAATAGATCCAAACTTGAAAAAGATAGAGTCTTTACCAAAAATATCTCATCTTTATCACCAACTGAAACCCTATACGAGCTTCCAAATCGATCTACTTTTCCAAATAGCCCAAGCGTAGCCCAAGCGTAGCCCAAGCTCTGATACCAATTGTTGGGATCCGCATCGAGGAACCAAACCAAATGCCGTTCGAGAAGGCAAAACCAACCAATCAATGCATAAACACAAAACACCAATTTTAACGTGGTTCGGCAATTGCCTATGTCCACGGGGCAAGAAGGGGATGAAGTTTTTTACTAATAGAGAATAAGAGTACAACTCACTCGAAGGAACAAACTAATCTCACCACAAAGCTCTTAATCTCTCCAAATAAACCCTAAACAAATAGCTCAAAAAAGTACCTTTTTTCTGTGCTCCAAATATCACAAACTCAAGCCTTAAGAAACCCTAGAACGTGTATTGGTATTTATACCAAACACCAAAACCCAATAAGAACAAGAAACTAAAACTGGACCTGACCCGTTACGCGGTCGACCACGCCAAACGACAGAACCTAAAAAATGCTTACAGGGTCTGGCGGTCGACCACGGCAGTCGACCGCGACAAACGACAGAGCCCAAAAATCGACTACAGGGTCTCGCGGTCGACTGCGACGGTTGACCGCGATGGTCGACCGCGCCAAATCCAGACACAATCCATGAGCCTGTGCACGTTCACGGTCGATCGGCCTTGCACCGCGGTTGACCGCGCAGCTCCTAAACTGACTCCTGCGTCCCAAAACCTGTTCTTCGCCAAATTTCTTCGCGGTTTCTTCACCCGGGTGATCGAACCATCTAAAAAAGCTCGTTATGACGATTCCATACATATCATTGAGGTTCATGAGCTTCCACTATTCCCCACTAGCAATCAACATATCGTGGTCGACATTGGCAGATTTTAAAATCCTCAATCTATACTACATATAAAAGAG